TCTTGTTAGCTGTATCATTTAGCTGCTGTCTTGTTAGGTGTATCTTTCAGCTACTGTCTTGTTAGGTGTATCTTTCAGCTACTGTCTTGTTAGGTGTATCTTTCAGCTGCAGTCTTGTTAGCTGTATCATTTAGCTGCTGTCTTGTTAGGTGTATCTTTCAGCTACTGTCTTGTTAGGTGTATCTTTCAGCTACTGTCTTGTTAGGTGTATCTTTCAGCTGATGTCTTGTTAGATGTATCTTTCAGCTGCTGTCTTGCTAAGGGTATCTTTCAGCTACTGTCTTGTTAGGTGTATCTTTCAGCTGATGTCTTGTTAGATGTATCTTTCAGCTGCTGTCTTGTTAGGTGTATCTTTCAGCTGTTGTCTTGTTAGATGTATATTTCAGCTGTTGTCTTGTTAGGTGTATCTTTCAGCTGATGTCTTGTTAGGTGTATCTTTCAGCTACTGTCTCCTACATTTAAATTTTAAACCATTTTTTGTCACATTTCGGCTAAAGATAAATAAAAAATTCTAAGTACCAGCATGAATAAATATTGATTTTATTTGTTCAGAAACAGGAAGTGGGACACAGTGAAGGTCTGAAACAGGAAGTGGGACACAGTGAAGGTCTGAAACAGGAAGTGGGACACAGTGAAGGTCTGAAACAGGAAGTGGGATGTAGTGAAGGTTTGAAACTGTGGCTGCCCGATCTGTACTGGAAGCACGATCTTTATGGTCCCAGAGACATTGTTTTTAGCATGTAGGATTTCGCTAGACTGATGACAGAACTCATTCGATTTCAGTCGTTCATCATCTGCAATGTTTCATAGAAAAGGCAACGTTTGCAACAGCTGTGGATTTTTATTCCACGAAAAAAATAAAATGAAGATAAGATGATTTATAACATGATTGTCTAGAAAATAGTTTTCAAGTTATTATAAATATTATAAATAAATATGTACGCATCCTAAATCTATATTTTATTAATCAAAATGTATACAATATTACAAGTGTTTTCAGAATATAACACACCTTTTTAATTACTTAAGTACACAAATATTTATTTTCAGTATCCATCCATCTATTATCTATACCCGCTTCTTCCTTTCAGGGTCACTGGTGCCCATATCCAGCAGTCACAGTGCGAGGGGCGGGGTCCACCCTGGACAGGTCACAGTCCATCACAGGGACAATTTTAGGTGTTAATTTTCAGTATTTTTTTTTTTATAAATCGAGCACATTCCAGAAGTCTGTCATTTAGCGCAAATGAGCTGACAGTACGGATTGTGCTACCGGGACGGATCGGGCAGCCACAGGAACAGGAAGTGAGATGTAGTGAGGTTCAGAGACAGGAAGTGGGACGTAGTGAGGTTCAGAGACAGGAAGTGGGACGTAGTGAGGTTCAGAGACGGGAACTGGGACGTAGTGAGGGTCAGAGACAGGAAGTGGGACGTAGTGAGGGTCAGAGACAGGAACTGGGACGTAGTGAGGGTCAGAGACAGGAANTGGGACGTAGTGAGGGTCAGAGACAGGAACTGGGACGTAGTGAGGGTCAGCAATCTTTCGGAGACGGAGGTTAGAAGACGTCCGTCTTTCAGGAAGTGGACCCAGAGTTTTGTCTCTCGTCTCCATCAGACGATGAAAGCTTCTTTTGTTTCGTGCTGAGGAGGAAACACAGAATCAGTCTGTTTTTAAACCCAGTTTGGTCTGATGAGGTCAGGATCTTCAGGAGTGTTTAGGCGTCAGACTGCAGCTCCTCCTGTCTGTGGTTTCCTGCTGCAGGACGAGGACGTTCTGCTGGGTGAAGTTTCATGTTCTCACAGTGGTTCTGCTATTCAGAGAATGTCTCTGATGTTTGCAGCAGCTTGTTACATTTGACGCAAACGGAAGGAAAAAAATCTGAGGACTTGTTTGTCTTTCAGGTGTGAAGGGAAAGATGGAGATCAGGTCTCAGATGTTAACTTTATTTATGTAAATGATATTCTTCATAAAGTTCGTATTAAAAGGCAGCTAAAACTTGTCTTAAATGAGGCGGCCATGATAAATCCTGACTCCGCCTCCTTCCCGTCAGCTGCTTACCTTGCTGAGTTCAGGGAAGAGTTCCAGCACGGCGATGTCCAGCAGGACGTAGGTCATCTGAGGAGGAAGAGGCAGAAACTGTGGGTTTGTTCTGGTTCTGGTTCTGGTTCAGACCGCTCAGGTGTTTCTGCTCCACAGCTTGTTTACCTGCTTGTTGAGGAGCGGCTGCTGCAGGGCGTCGAACAGAAGCTGAACACCTTCAGTTCTGGCGTCTTCACCGATACATTTCACCACCAGGTCTGAAAACAGAAACAAGTTTTCAGTTCATCTGAAAAACAAACGTTTTTCTGCTCCTGCAGAGAAAACAGCTGTAATGGATCAAACTTTGTTTACAGGAAACAACCCTGGACTCATGGGAGGTTTCAGGTCCAGAACAGGTCCAGAACCATTCACTGAGACTGTTTCACTTCATCAGAACCAGACTCATTGACATGTTTGGAACAACACTGTTTGTTCAGCTGGATCCGGGTCAGAACTTCTGAACCCAAAGTCTCTCTGAGTCCTGCCCACTTTAGGGGGCTTCTACTGTCCTTGATCTGGTTCTGGCTCTGGCCCAGATGTCCAGTTATCTGATGAGCATTTGTTCCCCTGCTGCCTGACAGGCCCCGCCCACTGACAGGTAACCATGGTAACCATGGTCATAATGTTACGGCTGACTCTGATACCAGAACACCGACCCGGTAAGTATCTCTTCATCTCCTCGAAGGTCCTCTTGGCTCGGTTCTGTTTGTCATCAGCGGTCTGCTGCTCGCCGCTCTCACAGAAAACTGCATCTGCAGAACAAACCACAACTTTAGCTTTGATTTCTGATAAACTGAAGACACAACAGCTAAAATATAAATGTAGCAGCTTCAAGCTAAAAGAAGATAAACATGTGCTAAAAGCTAAAAGAGGCTAAACATGTGCTAAAGGCTAAAAGAAGCTAAACATGTGCTAAAGGCTAAAAGAAGCTAAACATGTGCTAAAGGCTAAAAGAAGATAAACATGTGCTAAAAGCTAAAAGAAGATAAACATGTGCTAAAAGCTAAAAG